GATCTTATAGTTTCCAAAGTTATGGACTAGAAAGTTTGTCAACTTTTTTAAGGTGAAAAAGTAAGAGCATGGGAAACGTCACCTATCGTCACATCTATTTGTGTAAGATAGCTGGTGTGCGGTACGGTGAGAATGTACATTCCAACACTATAATTAAAGGTTATTTTTTCCAGCAAGTTGGCATTTTGGAACTAGATGTTTATCTTTGAGGAAAATTCGTGAATTTCTCGTCATTTCATAGTGTTTACGAATAAACGGCAACCATATCAGTGGGTTAGTAAATATGTCGTTTAATGAACAGTTTGTTAGTTATGACACATTGCTAGCACAAAAGTGTCAAAGGAAGTGCATGAAATGTCCGAAGCCACAGTGACAGCGACAAACACTGCTGTATAACAATCTTGTTTTGTGGCCTTCGGGTAGTTGAGTAAAAGATTATCCCAATTAGCTCAAACAAATGATTTAAGCATATTTTATTTCATACCATAAATAAACAACAATAGTACTTAAGGTAGTGTTTACACAACTGAGGTGCACTTTTTAGTCATTTTTGTACAATTACACCTAGACCAGAATAAAAAGTGCTTTTGTAGTCTGATGAAGCTGATAACGTTCAAACAAATCAGTATGATACAGGATAAAAGAGTATTTCCTTTTTATTTAATTCGAACAAGGATAAAGCCCTATTCCATTCAGTAGGTGCTCACGACGCTGATATTTTTAACACGACAGTTTTATTGATGTCGAACAAAATGCTCTCCTAGAGGCTGTAACACTGGGACGTTTAATGCACGCATTTAAGGTGTGACCAATTCTTATCCAGATGACAGTGGAAATACATAATTTTGCAATTTTTTGAGAAATAAAACTGGGGTCACGGCTCAAATCTTACGAGCAACACAATTCTAACAGCCAACAATCGGCCAATTTAGAAGACCAGCCAGGAAAGTGAAACTTTAAAAATTCTCCTTCATCCTCATCCTAAAATGTTCAAAAGAAACGCCTTTTTTGCGAGGGATTATAAAAATTGGAAAAAATTTTATTATATACTCTGGCAAGGAACACATCTTATTTCCTACACAATTCTGTGGGTGGTCAGATAATTTGTGCTTGCTGTATTGCCGAATCGTAACAATGTGGTGCTTCTTCCGTTACAAAGCGGCTTCTTTTTTAAGCCACTGCATTGAAGACCCTACACCCGTCAAGAGTTACAGAGTCAGAAACGCTTTGAATTATACTTCAATGTTGCTACTCAAAACACTGTTCGTTCGCCCAATACCACCGTAATTTTCTCTCATTTCAGTAAAACAATCTGGTGTAACAAACCTGACAAACCAAGTGAGTGTACATAGATGACAATACACTTGTTATCAGAGTTCATTTTAACACTTTTTAAACTATTAAGTAAAAGGAGTTGTGCCGTCCAAAATGGTCAAAACCTAATGGAAGCAAAGCAAGATTGTTTCCCATCAGCTAAAGTGCTAAACACAAATGACTCAAACAGACAGCATCCATAAGTGAACGTACTAAAAACGACCCAAGGAAAATACTGAGTTACAAACGGTTGTGTAAGTTTTAGATTAACTTTGGAAATCCATTGCTTTATCCCCTCTACTTATTTGCAAAAGACGATCATTTTTAAGCGTAAGACTTCACTAAGTAAATTTTGGGTATATTTATTGCACTGACCATGCTTCGGGTCTAGTGTTGGTTACTAAAATGTGCACTTGTTACCAGTCAATATCTATATATCTGGCACTCACAAAAAGCGTATCCTCGTAAGGTATTCCCCGGAGGGACCGTCCCTAAGAGCATTCTACAATCAGTTGTCATGTCATGAAATGCTTTGGGTAATTTGTTCATTAGGAATAATCTGGAGGACAAATGTCATAAAAGGACCACTAACCCTTGTACAACGCATGTTTAATTTGTGCTTGAGTGTTACGCTTGGATGTTCAATAATCCAATACGTAGGTTATCCAGGAGAATCCTTATTACAAAAAACTAAGCCTCAAAAAGAGATTCATATCAACCTGTTCCTTATTGTAAGGAACCAGAGGGCGACGAACCCCCTACGTTCTCAAAAGCCTCTTCCAGATCTAGTTCCATCATGAATAGATAGTCCTGTACTAACAAGTTCAAAAAGCTGGTGTTTTTCATGAAAAATTTTTGTGTTAACAAACTGTACTATGAATGCAGAGTACTGTCCCCAGGAGGGACAGATTGCGACGGTTAGGCGATTTCAAATAAGAAGTTTGTGCAAAAGGAATGTGTTTTTCGGCGCAATTTACGAACCAACAATAAGCCTTATGTTTAAATCGTTTAGAAGCCAAGAACAAGTGATGTCCAGAAAAAAATCCAAGGAAAGATTTCCAAGATCACTGTGCAAGATGAAGAAATATAGAGTTCTAAAAAGCAGCAGTTTCTGGCCAGAAATACTCAAACTAAAAAATTTGCGATGCCCACACAACTTGGTGTTTAGCCGGATATGAAAGGCGGTTTGAAAACCATCTTGGCTTGCTGTGTAGCTTCTAGGAGAACACGAGCGTAGTATCCGACTTTGTAACTTCACACTGTGTAATCCCTCTACAAAAGGACTTCAGATGGACATCAAAGTGCGTGCTCAGAAAGGCTTCTACATATACCGGAAAAGTGAAATAGGTAGAACCCGTGCTCTGAGCTTCTGTCTAAAAGTTACGGCCAAGTTTTGAGGTGAATACTCATTCTGGGATAAGCGCTCACTTCAGCCAGTACGAAAAGTTCTTTCTCCCTGTTCTAATTGGTTTATGCATACTGAAATTTCAGCAAAGGGTGAGCAGAAATGTCTTTCTTGAAATGACCAAATAAGTCTTGATTAGCCATGTGAAAACAAATAGGCTGCTATTTCTTATCGTAATGATATTTTAAAGCAAGTGCGTGTCTGCAACCAAGGTTTCCATTTAATGAGGATGAAATCGTTTACGTTCCAGGGACACGTAAAAACCCTAGTGGTGCCCTAAGCTTTCGATTCGATCATTATTAACATTTTACAAGTTTTTTAAAAAATATACTGGGAATACAACATAAACCGAGCCATGACCATGATATTTATGGTCATGTAATGAGTAGGTCTCTTTGTGTGAAGTTTGAGAGCAGAAATGCTTACGCCGTCAAGCGCTGCTATTAAACTTACCAATTTGAATCCGTCTTTGAGCGTACTGCATTGGCTTCTAATGACAAAGTCAACGACTTTGTAAACAAAAAGGTTTAGCCCGTACTCTTTTTCTCCTAGTCGTGATTAAATGAAAACTTCCTTTTAAAAACGGTTTTGGAAAGCACACACTTCGGGGAATAACGAAGACACTTTTCGAACGGCAATCAAGATGGATGATTCCGAAAAACGTCCCCAAAACTTTCTAACAATATAGTGGACAGGTTTTAGTAATAGCGCGTTACAATGAAGTATCACTGAATTTCATGCTTTCGCTAAAGGTTAAGTAAGTAAGAGGCGTTAATTTCGCCATGGCTAAGCTTGAATAATTTGGACTCTTGTTTTTATGTAATTGTGAGTTGTTAAAGGAATAGATCACCATTTGAGGTAGATATTCATTCCTCAGTGTTTGAAGTATCAACAGCGGGTTTTCCAAAAGCTAACTAATCACAGCTGAAGGGAATTGAAACAATGGCGAAACTTCTTTAGTCCAACTTAGCGGTAAGTTCGGGCGTTCACAGGATGTTTTGTTGCTTTAAGTTGACGATGATTTCGTGGTGAAACAGCGTCATTTTTACAATGATTTTTAGGAATACTTAAACAGCTTTGGTAGGGGGACTTTTTCATTTGTGAGACGGAAAGTACTCAACGAACAATATTTCAGACTATCTGTTGGATGACATAAGGGCACAGGTTTAGTTTTGTGTGCCTCATTAGCCAACTTATTTTACGCGATATTCAAATTTTCAGCCGCGCCGTTCTGTATGAAAGTGACATTTCGCAGTAATTTGTGAACAGAGCAAGTTCATTAGTTTAGCCATGAACTCATGTCCAGTTTATTTAACCAGATCGAAAAGTTGCGAGAAAACGGCCGTCTTTTCTCGTCTGCGTCTTGTCGGATTTCATCATTTGGTTATTACCAGGTCATCCATGAGGATCAGCTAAAGTATTTAATCGTTCCACAATATTTGGATGATGGTTTCAATAAATAACAAAACTTTGAAGAATAAATTCTGTGTCCAAATATGGTGTAGATCACTCAGACAAACTGGAAATTAGTTGACATTTATACGGACACTCCTTTGTATCTGTGAGTCACGTGCTAACCAATTAGTCGCTCATATTTTCTCCACATGTGTACACGGCCTGATATTCTGGAGGGGCAGTAGGTTTAAAACATTCACTATTACGCAACCGCAGCTTTAATTTCCAATAGTCGACTGACAGTTCTCCAGCGTTAAAAAGCTATAGAAACCTTTTCTTTCTCCTTCACAAATCAGAAAAAACTGCTCAAGTATCTTAGAGAAAACACATCCCAAAGGAAGTAGTTAACACATTGAGAGCAATCAGATAACTTGGTTATTTTCGTCACAATTCGTATAAAAATGCACTGTATAAATTATATCTGAGCTTTATTTCATAAAAAAATGAATCAATCATCATTCTTTCCTGCAACAATTCTCTTGTCTTGCAGCAAGGAAACCTTATCAGCAATGTCTCAAACCAAACAAAAATCAATTTGTGCTCATACTTCTGTCAAGAACTGGCTGAGAGGCTCGCAGGTATCTCACTATCAGTTGTATTCAGTTTTTACGGGTTGAATTTGTATACTAGTCTTTCGAAAGTTTCGTAGTAGGAGGTAAAATATAATAAACCGTTGGTAAGAATTTATCATCTATCCTATATAACTACTTGTTTGTTGAGGGTCGGAATTTTAGAGTGTAAAAAATGCTAGGGTCAGCTTGCATCGTAATTCCAAATGTCATTTACGGTGATGACTTCCGCTGATTTTGCATTTTTAACTCCATAGTCCAATACAATGCGTGTCAAATGCATGTCTCGGACGGAAGTAAATCGAAACATGCTTCCGGAGATTCAACCAGTCTAGATCTGGAAGACGAACAATTAAGAAGTGATCCAAGACCTTCAAAGCAGGTCACAAAGTGTGACGAAAATTCGGGAAAATTGGTTACACAATTGGGGACGGAGGAAGTTTTACCTCGGATCAAGGCTCAAAGGTGGCAACATTCCTCGGAAAACCCCACTCTGGAAGACAATTACAAGCCTTCTGTTAAAAGTTGCAACACCTACTTGGATCATTCCGAAGCAGACAAATCCAGCGGATTCAAGAAAAAAGGGATCGGAAAGGTTGCTGCCATTGTGAAGGTAGTACGTTTGTTTCTTACATACAGTATACAATTTCCCAAGTTAGGAGCAAGTTTATGTTGCCTACGCGGTAGTCTGTTGTATGTCACTAACGAAAGCATCAACAGATCATAGCCAGGACCACTTAAAAAATCATCCCAAATAGATATCACTCTCATTGAAAGTCACTTTCCCTTCTCTTAAGGCGTTATAGTGCTATACACTACTCATTGCTATTTCATTATTTCCTGTCCTATCTTAAGCCACATAGAAAAGTCTTGTAACCCATAACACAGAGGAAAAAACTGTAAGTCTAAGGGATCAAGTGACAAATTCGAACCACTTCATTTTGAAAAACACGTGAAATATAATGGAGATTCCAAACCCGCCCACAGTATGTAATCGGACCCCAATTATCGGACTTGAAGTCAGCCCTGCATTGTACACCGAAACATCCAGCTTCATTTTCCCATCCCCTGTACTATAGCATGACTCCACGGTCAAAAAACAGGGGTCATACCGCAGCTCATCATCATCATCACCCTGTACTAATGACTCCACGGTCAAAAAACAGGGGTCATACCGCAGCTCATCATCATCATCATCATCGACAGCATGACATCAGTGTTCATTCAACATGCTTCACTCCCGTACAACCATGACTTATTTGAAAGCCTTATCGTAAAAAAGAATAAAGGTGGATGGGAGAGGGACTTAGTGCTAGCTTAACACAGTCATTCCGAGGTGCCTACACCTCCAGACACTCACTCAGGCGATCTGAATAGAAACTGACAACAAGAACGCCACTGACATCAGTTGACAGTCATAGTTGTACTGTCTCCAACCAGGCACAGTGAGGATCACGCGGTCCCCATCCTGCAAGGCGATTAGCACCGACAGCTCCCAAGCGTTTCGTGATCTCCTTCATAATCCTCTGCCAAGTCAAGGGTTGGCCACCTCTCTGTTCATGCCACTCCGAATTAGGCATGGAAAACAGTACTCTCTTCGGCAAACAATGGTCCGGCATACGTAACACATGTCCCAACCAACGCAGCTTCTGGTGCTGGACACAATCTTCAATGGAAGTACCCGTTACACAACCGAAAACGCACTTTCTAACTGCCTCGTTACGGATCCACCGACACGAACCCACACGAACTATGGTTCTGAGACAACGATTGTCGAACACCTGAAGACGTCTCAGGTCCGCTGCTCGAATAAGCCAAGTCTCACAGTCATACAACAAAACAGCCCGTACTGTAGCTTGATACACACGTCCCTTCACATTCAGGGATAAACCATTCTTCTATAGGGGAGAATGTCGGTAGCTCAGGTAGCGTAGATGGTCGTTGGCTTGTTCGCTGAGCTGGGCAATTTGGTTGCAAACGTTTCATCATCAATCGAGGTGACATCATCAGTGCGTAGTTGCGCGTAGCGGTGGGTTAGTGATTGTGCGTTCAGTAGTGTTAAGTGTGTGTTGATATACGTGCTGGTAGCCGGGGATGACCTTTGACCGCGCTAAGCGCTAACCTAGTTAGCACAACTACGCACTGATGATGTCACCTCGATTGGTGATGAAACGTTTGCAA